ATCCACACAGAGAACCGATTGTTCCCATATTTGAATCCCACCACTGGATGACATCCTTTTGAGTATCCCAAGATAATAGCAGAACTCCTTAGTTGAACTAGGGCTGATCTCATATATGAAATCCCCTTGGGTATCTATGGACTTCGCTCACTTGCAGTGGCCGCATGCTAAACATAATGTAGTTTGTGAGGGTTCCCAGTAAGTTGTGTGAACTCAGTCTTCGTGCCTTAAACATATGATGGGTTCTGGATGTATGTACTGCTGAATTCAGTGTATTTAGTGTATGTTTAGCTACCGGGAATTTGAAGGGTCCTTAGTGATCTCTGAACTTCCTTGTTTTCTTGCAGATGTTGTCAAACTAGGTAACATCATCAGTACTTTTGGGTAATGAAACCTCTGCAAGAAAACCACCAAACTCAGGGAGCACCAAGGATCCCTCATTTCAATCCTGAGCTACGAATATTCTCCTTTATTGGTACTGGGGACTTTCTTTTAAAAACCACTTTAGAAAATCCAAATTAGGAATTGGCCCAAGCCCCTATTATAGGTAATCTTCGACTGAGCCCCGAATTTTTGTTGTTAAGTGAGACATTTGTTAAGGGAGTTTTGTCCCATTTTACAACCCATTTCTTGCCACAGTTGTTAAGTGAATCACTGCAGCTGTTAGTAACAAGGTTGTTAAGTGAATCTGGCTTCCCATTAAGTTTGCTTGTCAGAAGATAGTCACATGACCCCCAGGACACTGCCATCGTCATAAATATGAGTCAGTTGCCAAGCATCTAAATTTTGATCATGTGACCGTGCAACGGTCGTAAGTGTGAAAAGTGGTCATAAGTCACTTTTTTCAGTGCCGTTGTAACTTTGAACGACCACTAAACAAACTGTTGTAAGTCGGACTACTTGTATGCTACATGGCTGGGTCATTTACAACCCAGATTTTACAAGAGACACATTTTTTTTTCTTGGTTTTATTTTTTGGGGGAATGAATCTTAGAATATCTTTCTCGTAATAATGCCCAAAGCAAAATATTATATCTAGCCCAGAAAAAAAATGATTTTCTTAACTTGGGAAATGTAAGTTTGTTTCTCCAAAACTCTTTCCTGTTGTGAAATTGGGAGAGACAGCTTGCTTCTCAAAAGTGTTTCCTGTTGTATATCTCTCTACGTTCATTTCATCAGAATGTGATTCCCTGAAGAAGACGGATATCCATGGTGGCAGCACTATGAATGGCAAAGTCTCATTATTATTATTATTATTATTATTATTATTATTATTATTATTATTATTATTATTATTATTATTATTATTATTATTATTATTATTATTATTATTATTATTATTATTATTATTATTATTATTATTATTATTATTATTATTCCAATTTGTATCCCGCCCTTCTCCCGAAGGACTCAGGGCGACTCATGGTCCCTGATGGTGGTGCTTCTTCAGAGATGGGACTTGTAAGATGTCCTGCCTACTGCGGTAGATCCTATAGGACAGGCAGAAAATACTGAAATGAGAGTTCTCAATTTACGAGCGGTCATTTAACAACCATTTGAAGCTACAACGGCCTCAAATAGAGTGCTTTATGTTCCATAAAACACGTCCAGCCCTCATAACATGTCATGCCACTTCCTCTACAGTCACATGACTGTGTTTTGGGTGCTTGGCAACCAGCTCGTATTTGCAACTGATGGCAGCATCCTTCTCGATCATTTTGCCACTATTTTTGACATGTTTTTACTGATTTTTTTGCACCGTTTGCTAGTTTGTTTGCTGGCAAAAAATGCTCACTCGGGAGAATGGCCCAATGACCTCTGCAAATGTAGGAGAAAAATCCATGTCCAATCCAGTAAAGGACTCCCTGCAGATTTTATTCCGCTAGTCGTTGCCGACTACAGGGGGTGGCACTCATCTCCATTTCAAGGCCTTGAGCCTGCGCTATCTGAAGACCTTTCCACGGTCATGTGGCCAACGTGATGTCACGGAGTGTTCTTACCTTCCCACCGAAATGGTACCTATTTATCTATTCGCATTTGCATGCTTTCGGACTGCTAGGTTGACAGAGCAAGGAATAGGAGCTCACCCCATCACATGGAGCTTGGGTCACGAACCCGGACTAACATCTTTCCAGCCCAAATGCCCAACATCTTAACCACTGAGGCCACTGTGCCACCTCTCCAGTCTCATGCTTACCTTGAATAACAACCACAATGACTTACGACCAAAATTCCCATCCCGATTGCGGTCACAAGTCAAGGACTACATGTACACCCAAACTGAACCTCAATTTTATTTATTTACTTTCTCCTCCAACCCACTTTGGCTTCAGATGCTGCAGACCACAATCCTAAGAAGACATTGAAATAACGGATTATAGTGGGAAGATCTTGGAAGACCAGAGTAGGCATAAGTAACATAGGAGGAAGTTCGTGGCAATTATGGGAAGACTGGGGGAAGGCCTGATGCATATTTTTATGCCTGCATGAACTTATGCTAATTGCTTCGACATAAGTAGGTAAAGGCGGGATTTGTGTCAACATCACCATATGACCTGTCATCGATAGTCATCATGGCTTGCCAATGGGCAGCCTCTAAATACGAGGACTCCATCTTTTGGGTGGGATTTCTTGTCAATGAAGACCACATAGAGGAGGCTGAGCTGAGCTGAATGAGCAGATATGTGTCTGTCTGTCCATCTAACTGTCTACTGCAATGAGGAATGAAGGAGGACTCCCCAGGAAGGAAAAGGAGAGAGGGGAACTAAGTGCAGGATCTACCAGGAGTCGATCAAAAGTCACAAAGAATCACATCATCACCAGCATTGATGGCGTTACCTAGTTAGGATAATGAAACCTCTGCAGGAAAACAAACAAGCTCAGAGAGCACCAAGGACCCCTCAATCACATCATGGTGGAAGATGGTCAAAAGACTGAGCTTCCTTTGAAGGATCTGGTAGAGTTTTGATATTTTTAAGGCAGGAGTCTTCAAACTTGGCCCTTTTATGACTTGTGGACTTCAACTCCCAGAATTCCTCAGCCAGGCACACTGGTTGAGGAATTCTGGGAGTTGAAGTCCACAAGTCATAAAAGGGCCAAGTTTGAAGATCCCTGCTTTAGGACCTAGGAGCAACTGGGCCGAAAGAACAAAAACAGACAATTCTGGGAGCTGAAGTCCACAAGTCATAAAAGGGCCAAGTGTGAAGATCCCTGTTTTAAGGCATAAAATCAGCTGATCTGGAATGAATTTTACTTTATTACAGCACAGTTAGCCTCACCCAAGGATTGGCAACACATCTTGAGCACTGTGTTATGTAATGTTGTCTCATTCCAATTCACCAATATCCCACAAGGTCACCCATGAGACCACAAAACTCTTGCAACATCTCATCAAGTTTAAAACCTTATTTTATTTGGAGGTCTGGAGGTGTCGCTTCGAGGTCCAAATAGTTTTGAGTAAGTTCAACGGGTATCTAATATTTCCCCAAACTATCCAGCAGGAAAGGAGGAAAAATGAGGGATTTTTACCTTGAACCCAGTCAAGCATTTGGTCCACTTGAAACAGAAGCTTAACAACGGCTCGTTGGCAGAACACGCTAACATGATTACTGTAAACCCATACAATTTGCACAATATTTGCAATAGCATTATTGCACAAAAATAGAGCAATAGTTATGAAACCAGACTGGCTTCATACATCACATCAAGTTCCGGAAACCAGAGTTAAAACTAACCAAGCCTCACATATTGTCAGCTGACCTGATTAGATTCGTCATGTGAATACCACCATTACTATATACACTGACCTGGTAGCAGATCCCAGGTTTTAAGCATTAAATTGTGCAAATCTTCAGAAGATTGCTTTGGAGGAGAGACACACACTTCTCCACCTTCCTAGTACCAGAGCGGTATGGCCAAACTTTATTTGTGAAAAGCAGCAGCTTCTGTGCATGGATTGCAGGTCTGCAGAAGTCCCACCATCCGAGACAAAATCCTGAGTCAAGGAAGGTCACCTTGGGTGGCCACTCTTGCCTCGCAAACTTCTATTAATTAAAGGCATTTTCCAGCAGACGTTTTGTGGCTGTGTCTTCATGAATTAGCAAGCTGTTCCTCATGGGTAGAAAGAGGGTCCAGATTCAAGTTCCAGCACTTTCTCTGGAGACCTTGTGCTGGTCAGTAGTGAGAAAACTGAACGAGTGGTCTCAAACATCTGTCTTGGTGAAATACCCCTTTCACGTTCTATGTTCTTCTTTCTGAGAAGGAGAAACAAGGAACCTTTAACGGCTGCTTCTTCCAAGAGGTGCATCACAAGAGGACCTTCGTCAGCAGGAGCCCAGAGAGAGACAAGAGAAGACATCCTGTAAGCTGAGACACCCGGTTGGCCGGCTGGCAATTAACAATATCCATATCAAACAAGTTCACTTTTCCAGTGAGTAAAGCATTACAGATGGGCGCAGTTGTGCAACCTCTCAGAGTGATGTGCTTATCTAAATATGACAAACAAGAAGGAAAGTCACACAGAGCCTGGTGATCATGACCTAAGAAGTCCACTCATCCACTTAACGGCTGGCTATGCAAACCCACTAACCTTTCAAGTTGCTTAAATATGGTGCCAGTATTATACCCACAAAACCAATAAACCATATCGTAGTACAGAGAACAGAATAACAGAGAACAGAATAACAGAGTTAGAACCTTGGAGGTCTTCGAGTCCAACCTTGTGCTTAAAAAGAAGACCCTCTATAATTCTGGAAAATGGCTGTCCAATCTCCTCTTAAAAACCTCCAGTGATGGAGCATCCACAACTTCTGGAGGCAAGCCATTCCACTGATTAGTTGTTCCGACAGGAAATTTCTCCTTAATTCTAGGTGAGATCTCTCTTTGGTAAGCTTCCAACCATTACTTCCTGTCCTGCCCTCAGGTGTTTTGGAGAATAGGTTGACCCCCCTCCTCTCTGTGACAGGCCCTCAAATATTGGAAGACTGTCACCCCTGGTCCTTCTCTTCACTAGACTACACATATCCAGTTCCTGCAGCCTTGTGGGTGAGGATCACACCTAAGCCACGTATACCCACAGAGAAACATAACTGAGGTTGAATGAACTCAGGTAAACAGATTGGGTTAAGTGGGTTGTATGAATGCACCTTATGTTTTAAGGTGATGTGTGAACGTATTCAAAATATAACCTCAAAATTACCAGGATATTTATGCCCAGCCAAATCCAGGCAGTAATTCTCAGCTCCAGTGCACTTGACTGTCTTCTTAAGGCATGGCTGGGCAGAATAGCAGGCTGGGCAGTATTTCCCATTGGCTGTCATATTGATTGGTGGCCCTGAAAAAAAATTGAGCCCAATTAATTAAATCAGAGCATTTGAGTTCCAAAATGAACAGCCCTCTTGTCATCACCGGTTCCATTATTTTCCTAGGCATCTCTAGGCATTTATCACCCAGAGTTGCTATCAAACTTACCCCTGCATTTTTATACAGACAGTCCTTGACTTAACAACCGTTTGTTTAGCGACCGTTCCAAGCTACAACGGCACTGGAAAAAAGTGACTTACAACCGGTCCTCACACTTACGACTGTAGCAGCATCCCACACGGTCCAACCCACCTCACCTTGTGATGGGAGAAATAGGATACTAGATACGTTCACTGCCTTGACTTATTTGTAAGTAATTTTTTTTTAAAAAAACACAAATCTAATAAATAAATAAATAAATAAACATTCCCAGCACTATTGAGGCAATCTTCAAAGAATACTACAACACCCCTCTCCCCGCCCCCAGATAAAGTTGTTTACCCATCTTGCAAAGGGAAAAAAAACAGAAACATCTAATTTGCAATGGAAGGATTGTATCAAAAATAGGAAACCTGTAGTCCTCTAGAGGATCAGGGGTGTTCAGCCTTAGCAAGTTTAAGACCTGTGGACTCCAATTTCCCAGACATGGAATTATGGCTGCGGAATTCTGGGAGTTGAAGTCCACACAGGTCTTAAAGTTGCCAAGGTTGGGCACCTCTGCTCTAAATCATTCTGAATTACAATAGTCAACGTGACCTCTAGTGGAGAACTCCGGTACTTCAAGTTCTTGGAGGGCATGGCAACTTCCCAATTCTTTGAGTTGATACCGCTGGTTAGGAGTGCCAATCATTTCTTACATTGTTGGATGGAGATCACTGACAGAGGAAAAGGAAAAGAAGACGAGACCTACATGGAAGAGAATCTTCTTTGCAGTCTTCTCCTAAGCAACAGAGGGTGCTTCTCCTGAGGAACTCTCCTTGTCCAAAGGTCACCAAAACAGATGCAGAGGTGCAGTTCTCTGAGAAATAGCAGTCCTTTTCTATATTGGACGTGGTTTTTCCTCCTGCCAAGAGAGAAGATTTCATATTTTGTCGTGGCTGGGTCTTCACCTAGCCTAGCAGTGCCCAAAGAGAGCTTTTGTGGGACTCCTTTTGTGACCAAGGATGTCAGAGCTGTAGTAGGATGCTTGCTCAGCTTCAAGAACCTCCCAGGTCAATGATTGGCATCTACAAGTCTAAAACTTTGGAGAGTTACCTCAAGGAGGACCAGCAACGGAACTCAAGTTGAAGGCAACTTTCTGTGTTTAGATCATGCTTTATTAATTAGCAAGCTTAAAGAAGCATATTTATTGTTATTGTTAATATGTCAAGGATGAAACTTTGGCAGCTACGTGCCTCTGCATTTCAACTTGCCTTTAGATTAAGGAGAGGAGGTGTTACTTTCAAGAGGGTTAGCTAGAGAAATGAAACTTCTATGATTCAGCTGAAGACCGTGAGAGCCTGAAATCTTTTCAAGGACACCAAAACAGGTGTGGATTTAAAGCGGACAGTTCCCATAACAAAATGAACTTGTTTATACGGACTATGTAAGACGTTGGGGGTTTGGCTGGGAAAATTATTGTTTAAGTCGGAGTTAGTTTTGCTTTGACCTTACCATGCAGTGTATTCAATAAACAGTAAGATTTTCAGAGACAAAATGAACCTGGAGTTTATTTGGATTCTTGAGCTGGATGTTGACATAATATTTGATTTCTATACCTCTCAGTGATTAAAGACTCAGTCCTCGACTTACAATCATTTGTTTAATGACCAAAGTTACAATGGCACTGAAAAAAGTGACTTGCAAGCAGTCTTCGCACTTATGACCATCATAGCATCCCCACAGTCATGTGTTCAAAATGTGGGTGCTTAGCAACTGGCATGCATTTATGACAGTTGCAACATCCTGGGGTCATGTGATCACCATTTGTGACTTTCCCAGCCAGCTTCCGACAAGCAAAACCAATGGGGGAAGCTGGATTTGTTTAACAATGGCATGATCCACTTAATAACTGCAGTGATTCACTTAACAATTGTGGAAAAAAGGTTGGCAAATTAGGAGCGATTCACTTAACAACCATTTTGCTTAGCAACAGACAGGCTGGTCATAAGTTGAGGACTTCCTGTATTTCCAAAGACAAAAATAAAAGCTGATAGGGAGTGAAAATGGATTAAGATGGCTGCTTGTCTACTGCTGTTTTCACTCACCTTCGGAGGTTTCTGTCAATCCGATAACACAAATGTCCTCATCGAACTCACATCTCTCTTTCCCACTTCGACAGCTATTTCCCGTGCCAAAACACATTTCACACTCCAGGGAAGCACCTGAAAAAGTGAAAAGACCCATCAACCTGCAGGGCAGATATTTCAGCCATGTATCAATGGGGTCCCTTAAGGGCCTGGTGACTACATTCATACAACATGCTGGTCTTGTGATTTGGCAAGGTTCTCCATGTCTGTGTACATTTGGCTCAGCCTGTGTTGTATGAACTCAGACTGCCAGGTTAAAATTTATGGTTAGATGGTTGGTGTCAATTCAGAAAATGGGTTAATTCATTAACCAGATGAAGACCTGGGTTTGATCGTGAGAAATTCTAAAATGTCCTAGATTTTATTTTCATCTCGCCGGGCAACATGAAGATTAGAACTTCATTGCAACGTCAAATGAATGAAAAACTACTGGTGACATTCTACCTGTCTTCAAAGAACTTTGAGGCATTGTTTACCTTAAAGAATCTTTTATTGCAACCAAGCTTCCGTACGTACATAGAGAAGCCAAAATCTGAATTCTCCTCCTCCAAACATACAGTATCTAAGCATAACTCACTCCTTCATTGAACAGTCATAAATCACATTCTCCAATTAGTTTGAAGTGTGAACTTTCCCTCCTGTTATCTCCTCTTATTACAACCAACCTTGAAGAATACTCTATTGAGATATTGTTATGGCTAACTAATCCCCAAGCACATTCTTTCCCCTCCCCTCCAGCACCATCTAATTTTAACTCTAAAAGTAATACACAGGTTAAATAGGAAATGTCTGCATCTTCATATATTGTCAAGCAAGAACATCCGATGTTAGCAGCATTGACACTACCGTTGCTTCATAGAGAACATTCTAATCTATTGCATTAGTGTGTGGTTTGCTTGTTGCACAGTAGCGGATAGGAAAGCGCTCCACAGGGTCATTGCCATCGCCCAGAGGATTCCTCCCCCTCCACCTTGGACGAACTGTATAGTTCCCGTTGTCTTAGGAAAGCTCAAAATATTCTTAAAGACTCATCTCATCCTGGACATTCTTTTTTTGAACTATTACCATCTGGCAGACAGTACAGGATAATCAAAACAAAGACAAATGGGCTGAAAAGTAGTTTTTCTCCCAGAGCTGTAACCATATTAAATACCACTGTATAGTGCAACGTCAAAGTGCAATATTAGGGGCAGCGCAATGGTGAATAGAATGTGGAGGATGTGTGTATATAATGTATGTTCTTATTTGTGGTTTTTACTTGTGTGGAATGTGCACTGTGGACAGCACTTAATTTTGTTGTGAGTTACACAATGACAGTAAAGATATTCTATTCCAGTGATGGCAAACCTTTTAGAGACTGAGTGCCTAAAAACTGCTCCTGCCCTAGCTTCACCCCTTGCCCTGCCCCCACCTCACCTGCCTGCAGGGCCACTCACCATCTCCAGGGCCCGCCGCAGATCACCCAGGCAGCCCAGTAGCGCCATGGCATCCATGCCCTCTGCCCGCGCCCCGCAGCATCAACTGTGCATGATGGGGGGTGAAGGCAGAGTCTTGTCTACGCTGCCTGGCTGCCATGTCCTTGGCTGCACTGCTCCGCGTGGGCCATGCTCGGGGGTGACTCTCCTCCAGGGGGGTTGCTGGTGAGGAGGGGGTCGCATGGGGAGTCAAGGCTTGCGCAACGGCATGTGTGCCCACAGAGAGGGCTCCGAGTGCCACCTCCTGCACCCATGCCATAGGTTCACCACCACTGTTCTATTCCAAATGAAGATTTATTTATAAATGAGGAGGTCAGATCTCATGTCCCAGGGCAAGATGTTCTAAAGGGCGGGGGCTGTGGTGAAAAAGGCTTTTTTCCTAGACCCTGCCAGCCAAAATTCCTTGGCCGATGGAGTCCATAGTAGACCCCTTCGGGCAGAATAAGTGGGGCAGGCCAAGATGGCTCCTCAGATATCTTGGTCCCACACCATAAAGGGCTTTGCTAGAGAATTCCAAAAGACAACCTGCCTCCAGAAGCGGTGAATGCTCCAACACTGGAAGTTTTTAAGAAGAGACTGGACAGCCATTTGTCCGAAATGGTGTAGGGTTCCTGCCTGAGCAGGGGGTTGGACTTGATGACCTCCAAGGTCCCTTCCAACTTTTTTTTTTATTATTATTATTATTATTATTATTATTATTATTATTATTATTATTATTATTATTATTATTATTATTATTATTATTATTATTATTATTATTATTATTATTATTATGGCAACACATTCCTGCAGAAGTCTCCAGTGAATCGGGGGTCAGTACTCACCAATAGATGGATGTATCGTTGGTTCTGAATCCTTGGATTCTTGAGTATGAGGTTTCAGCACCCCCTCAACTGAAGTTGATGGATCAGGAAGCTTCTTGTTCCTCGTGTTTTCTTGCGTCTGGAAACAAGCTAATAAACAAGGATTGGCTTTAGTGACATCTTCAATTTTATGACCTTTTTTTGGGGGGGGGGATTGCAAGCCTAGTATCTAATTTGGCTTTTCCAGTCATCCCCACAAAAGAGATGGATCAGAGAGGTTAGCTCTCCTCTTTCATTTGCTACATGTTCCTTTCTTGGGTGGGATGCTGCCTTGAGTAAGACTGGGGAAGTCTCCCCATAATAATAATAATAATAATAATAATAGTAAAGTTGGAAGGTACCTTGGAGGTCATCTAGTCCAACCCCCTGCTCAGGCAGGAAACCCTATACCATTTCGGACAAATGGCTGTCCAGTCCCTTCTTAAAAACCTCCAGTGTTGGAGCATTCACCGCTTCTGGAGGAATCATAACTGATTTTGCTCCAGTTTAGGAAGACAATCCCACCTTCCCTCCCCCAAAGTATCTTTTGTTAGGTCCAATCAGGCAAGAAACCGTTGCAGCATCCCCATGATCTTGGGATCAAAATTTAGCTGCTTGGCAACTGGTTCGTATTTATGACTGTTGCTGTGTCCCAAGGTCATGCCATCCTCTTTTGCGAGCTTCTGACAAGCAAAGTCCAGATTCACTTCACAACCGTGTTGCTAACTTAGCAATGGCAGGGATTCACTTAGCACAGTGGTGGCGAACCTATGGCACGGGTGCCAGAGGTGGCACTCAAAGCCCTCTCTGTGGGCATGCATGCTGTCACCCCAGCCCTACCATCCCCCATGGGCCCCTCCTCACCAGCAGCCCCCCCCCAGAGGAGAGTCACCCTGGGCGCAGCCTGCACGGAGCAGCGTAGCCAAGGACATGGCAGCCGGGCAGTGGGGACAAGACTCTGCCCTCATGCCCCATCACATACAGATGCTGCTGTGGGGTGCGGACAGAGGGCGTGGCAGCCATGACGCTGCTGGGCCGCCTGGGTGATCTGCTGTGGCAGGCCGTGGAGGTGGTGAGTGGCCATGTGGGCAAGAGAGGCGGGGGAAGGGCAGGGACGAGGTGGTTTTTGAGCACTCGGTCTCTAAAAGGTTCACCATCACTGACTTAGCATCTGTGGCAGGAAAGGACGTAAAATGGAGCAAAACTCCCTTAACAACTGTCTTACTTAACAACATACATTTGGGGACAATTAGGGTCATAAGTATACTAGAATTTTGCAGATCCCCCTTGGTTTTCCATTTCCTCCCTGTTATTCCCCAGGAAGTTGTGGGGAGAGTGGCTCCTGTAATCTTTTCCCATTCCCTGGGGCATAACACATACTTCTGTTCCCATTATTGTCTATTGTCCCCAACCTCCGATCTGTGGACCAGTACCAGTCCGCGGCATGCCAGCAACCGGTCCGCACAAACAAGCAAAGCCCCATCCGCGGGATGCAGGCAGCACACAAAACCACGCCCCCTCCGGTCCACGGAAAAACCTCTCTCCATGGAACCGGTCCCTGGTGCCCAAAAGGTTGGGGACCTCTGGTCTACACAGATACAGGTATGAGCTACGCTACTTGGGGAATACTGGAAAGTGCTAAGTTAGAGTAGGCATATCTTGGAAAGGGCTTTAATGACGCCGCTGGAAGATCTGCTTATGCCTGCCTTCATAATAGATCAGATCTTTGTCCAGCTGTTGAGGAATTTCCAGATGTTTTCTTACCGGGAGAAAGAAGTACGGAAAGGGAAAATAAAGTCAGAAGAACTTTCATGATGAAGATCTGCAGTGATGAAGAAGGGAGCGTCTCTCTGCCGTGGGGCCACTTCTATGTCCTAAAATGTAAACATTTGCAGGAAAAAAAATAGGCATTTATTCCCTTTAAGGAACCAATGTTTTGCTCAGCCTTTTATTTTCTTCTCTCTTTGGGGGGGGGAAGGGAAGGGGGGTGCGTTTAAAAAAACCCTTCCAAAAAAAGGGCAGCCCTTTGTAAATCTTTCTCCCAGTTTCTCCACTTCTTGTGAATGGGGCACAATATCCTCCCTTCAATGGGACTGCGAGGTCCCACGTCAAACCGTAGATCACATCGTGACCGGCTGTAAACTGAGAGGGCATATATTATTATTATTATTATTATTATTATTATTATTATTATTATTATTATTATTATTATTATTATTATTATTATTATTATTATTATTATTATTATTATTATTATTATTATATTATAATAATATTATTATATTATATTATTATTATTATAATAATAATAATAGAATAGATGAGAAAGAACTGGAGAAGATAACAAAATACAAAGACCTACAAATAGAAATAGAAAGACTGTGGCAAAAGCAAGCAAGGGTACTACCAATAGTAATAGGTGCCTTGGGTGCAATCCCAAAACAACTGGAGCACCACTTGAACACCATCGGCATTGACAAATTCGCTATTAGTCAACTGCAAAAGGCAGCCTTACTAGGAACTGCTTCCATCCTGCAACGATATCTGTAATACCATCAAACATCCACATCTGCCTATCCCAGGTCCTGGGTAAGGACTCGATAGGTAGACAAAATGCCAGATCCAGTCTGAACATCTGGCTGACTATGCGATGATCCATAATAATAATAATAATAATAATAGTAAAGTTGGAAGGGACCTTGGAGGTCATCTAGTCCAACCCCCTGTTCAGGCAGGAAAACCTATACCATTTCGGACAAATGGCTGTCCAGTCTCTACTTAAAAACTTCCAGTGTTGGAGCATTCACAGCTTCTGGAGGCAGGTTGTTCCACTGGTTAATTGTTCTGTCAGGAAGTTTCTCCTTAGTTCTAGGTTGCTTCTCTCCTTGGTTAGTTTCCATCTGTTGCTTCTTGTCCTGCCTTCAGGCGCTTTGGAAAATAGTTTGACTCCCTCCCTAAGTCAGGTATCTGATTTTTCTTTTTTTTTTTTTACTAATCTAGATGATACATCAATATATATTGCTAGTCCACGTATGATATGCTATATGCTAAATCAGGGGTCCTCAAACTTGCTGGCTGCAGAATTCTGGGAGTTGAAGTCCACAAGTCTTAAAGTGGCCAAGTTTGAGGACTCCTGTGCTAAGTAAATAAGTAAATAAATAAACAAACTGCATATTTTATGGCAACTAACCACTCTTTTCAGAATTGACCACTATTATATCTCCCCCTTTTTTCTGGACAGGAAAGAGATACATGATACCAAATTTCTCCCAGGGCTTGGAGGAAAAAAAGAACAACAACAAAAAAATATTACTCAGGTTTCTTGGGGGTTGCTCCTGGTAACGATCACCTCCTAGCCTTTGAAGTTTTTAACCTGACGTATTTTTACTTATACATTTTAACTTTTTTTTTTTTCCCCGCTTTGGCTTTTAAGCTACGGTTTTTAGTTCTTCAGCTCAGAAAAGGTGGGCAGCGAGAGAAGCTTGTGAAAAGATAGAAATATAATAATAGCCACAAAATAGCAAGAGCTGGAAACTCCAAAAATGACCTCAGCTAAAAAAAAATAACCAAACCCCGCACACACACACCATCTGCAAGACGATCACCGCCACTAGAACAGGGAACTCAAAAAGGGAAGGAAAGGTTTGAGAAATCATGACACAGTTTTTGATGATTTGAATATATATATTATGTGCTAATACGGCCATCCAAAGTTCAATTACAGGTAGTCCTTGACTTACAACAGTTCATTTAGTGACCGCTCCAAATTACAACGGCACTGAAAAAAGCGACTTAGGGCCGTTTTTCACAGCTATGACATTTGCAGCATCCCCAAGGTCATGTGATAAAAACTCAGAACCTCGGCAAGTGAGTCATACTCATGACGGTTGCAGCGTCCCAGGGGAATCACGTGATCCCCTTTTGTGACTTTCTGACAAGCAAAATCCCCGAGGAAGCCAGATTCACTTAACAACCGTGTTTCTAACTGAACAAACGCAACGAATCGCTTAGCAACTGTGCAAGGAAAGTCTATAAAGCGGGGCAAACTCACAGAACACGTTTCGCTTAGCAACATACATTCTGGGCTCAACTGGGGTCGTAACTGTACATCGGAGTCCTAGTGGACAATCACTTAAATATGAGCCAGCAGTGTGGTGCAGCTGCCAAAAAAGCCAACTCAGTGCTGGGCTGCATTAACAGAGGGATAGAATCAAGATCACGTGAAGTATTAATACCACTTTACAATGCCTTAGTAAGGCCACACTTGGAATACGGCATCCAGTTTTGGTCACCACGATGTAAAAAAGATGCTGAGACTCTAGAAAGAGTACAGAGAAGAGCAACAAAGATGATGAGGGGACTGGAGGCTAAAACATATAAGGAACGATTGCTGGAATTGGGTATGTCTAGTATCTAATGAAGAGAAGGACGAGGGGGGACATGATAGCAGTGTTCCAATATCTCAGGGGCTGCCTCAAAGAAGAGGGAGTCAAGCTATTTTCCAAAGTGCCTGAAGGCAGGACGAGAAGCAACGGATGGAAACTGATCAAGGAGAGAAGCAACTTAGAACTAAGGAGAAACTTCCTGACAGCTAGAACAATTAACCAGTGGAACAACCTGCCTCCAGAAGCGGTGAATGCTCCAAAACTGGAAGTTTTTAAGAAGAGACTGTACACCCATTTGTCTGAAATGGTGTAGGGTTCCTGCCTGAGCAGGGGGTTGGACTAGATGACCTCCAAGGTCCCTTCCAACTTTATTATTATTATTATCCCAAACCCGACACCATCCAGCTCCTGATTCCAGGACTGCATCACCTACCCCCAGATCAACCTGTCCTGAGAGCTTTCCAAAAAGACAAAATGTTTCTTCGATAGAGATCAAAAAGTCAGCAAGATCAGCTGCGGTAGCTGATCCCAATTGTTGACAGTTTATGAATCTGGACCGTTATGAGATTCCCCATAACTGGCAAAGCCATGCTATTAAATTCTATTAATATCACAGAGCAATCCGGAGGGGAAAAAAAAATAACACCATACAGACCAATCAACTTCTTACCCTTTCCCAGGCTTCAAATACATACCCCGCGCCTGCTCTCTCTCTGCCGATCCACCTACCCCCACGGGCCATTTTACCAGCAAACGCAGCAATCCAGAAAAATCCCTTCAAAACCACAGGATTTCTTCATTAACTGCTCTGCCTTTCATCCAAAGCTTGCTTCCACTCCTGTGTCTCTTTTGCTTTTGCTTTTCCTGTGCCTTTAACAGCAGCTGAAACTATTGGCAGAGGCTGGAGATGTTTTGTTTTGTTTTGTTTTTTCTTTCTTTCTTTCTTCACATGACTTTTATCAGAGCTAGCAAAGTTTCATCTGTTCCTTTCCTGAATGACGGCTACAGATAAAAAAGAAAACCAGCGGGGTGTGGGGGGTGTGGGGGAATCCACGGCTAATACTCTGCTTTAAAAATAACTCTTGGTCAAGTCAAGTCGAGCAGTGGGAAATTCCAAACGGCTAAATTTCAGCGGGTTTAAGCAGACTGAGGAGAAGCTTGGCTTTGCATCGTGGTTTGCCCGGGCTAACTGAGTTGGGTTATTTTAACCGGTGGTTTGTTTTGGGGAGGGGGGCAAGTTGGTTTGTTGCGTAAATGGAGGGTAGACAGTTAGGCTATGGTTCAAGGCATTGTGGAAAGCCAGAGGAAGGGCTAACTCAAAGACCTGGAGTCATATTTGTCTTCAGCTTCTGTAGTAGCCTGTGAGAATGGCCTTGGGAGAGTACAGGAAGAACCACGGTTTAGGCCAGTGTTTCTCAACCTTGACAATTTTAAGGCATGTGGACTTCAACTCCCAGAATTCCACAGCCAGCATTGCTGGCTGTGGAATTCTGGGAGTTGAAGTCCACATGCCTTAAAATTGTCAAGGTTGAGAAACACTGGTTTAGGCAAACTTATGCAAAAGTTTATCTCAAGCCCTGGGAAGCCTCTCAAACGGGACCCTTCCTTCTTCTCTGGAAGGTAAAACCAGGGGAGGGGATAAGTACTTTCAGACTCGCAAGACTCTGTTCCTGTAACCTTACAAGAGAGGTAGTGTCAGTATCATGGTTTGTGCTTCCCTCTCTGGACTACCTCGCAGGGGGTGGCACAGTGTAGCATTGCAGACAAACTCTGCCCAGAGCCAGGAGTTCGATCCTGACTGGCTCAAGTTTGGACTCAGCCTTCCATCCCTTCCGAGGTTGGTAAAATGAGGACCCAGATTGTGGGGTGCAAATATGCTGACTCTGTAAACCTCTTAGAGAGGGCTGTAAAGCACTGTGAAGCGGTATATAAGTGCCCTTCCTTCCTTCCTTCCCTTCCTTCCTTCTTTCCCAGTGGTTAGAATGCAGTATTGCAGTCTAATTCTGCCCACTGCCAGGAGTTCGATCCTGACTGGCTGAAGGTTGACTCAGCTTTCCATCCTTCCGAGGTTGGTGAAATGAGGACCCAGATTGTTGGGGGGCAATGTGCTAACTTTGCAAACTGCTCAGAGAGTATTGTAGAGCAGCATATAAGTCTAAGTGCTACTGGTATTCTGTAAGGGCAGGAGACTGGCTTCCTAGCCAGCTGTGCAGAAGCATTCCCCTTTAATGGCTTCTCTCTGTGCAGAAGCATTCCCCTTTAATGGCTTCTCTACCGGAGAAGATTAATGGCTGGTGTTGCTTTAGGACAGAGGTCTTCAAACTTGGCCCTTTTATGACTTGTGGACTTCAACTCCCAGAATTCCTCAGCCAGGCACACGTGCCTGGCTGAGGAATTCTGGGAGTTGAAGTCCACAAGTCATAAAAGGGCCAAGTTTGAAGACCCCTGCTTTAGGACCTAGGAGCAACTGGGCTGAAAAAACCAAGACAGACAATGCATCTGAATTTCAGAACTGGCAGGATCAGGTTTTTTTTGTGTGTGTGGCCGAAACCACTTGGGAGGTACCTCACTTTGCAGTTGCATGCCCATCCTCTGATCTCACACATCGCTTCCTGAAACTGAGTTGGTTTTTTTTTTTTTTTTTTGGCCTCCTTGGGTGGGGACAGCAAGATTTCTCAACCGCGGAAATGTTCAAGTTGTTGAGGTTGAGAAACACTGCTCTGAAGCATAATTAAGTTTCTTTTCTGCCGTCCTTCATTTGTGTCTGGCTTTTGGAGACAGCCGGCACGAGCTCCCGCAGTTTCTTTTGCAAGGTTTTTCAGAAGTGGTTTACCATCCCTGGCCCAAAATCGCCCAGCCGGCTCTCACGCCTAGGGTGGGACTAGAACTCACGCTCTCCTAGTTTCTAGCCTGGTGCCTTAAGCACTAGACCAAAGTGGGCTTTTTAATGGGGCCTCTCTTGCGAAATTTCATAAAACCTGTTCCAGAAAAGGAAGTTGTTTTGGTGTTTTTTGCGAAGGTATTCACTGCGAGATGCCTATGTTCAAAGGAGCATTGAAAAGCCATGTGAAGTTTAACACAACAAAGAATCTAAGGGCACCTTTAAGAGTTAACCAGTGGTGGGATTCAGATATGGGAACAACAGGTTCTCTGTGTGGATGCCGCTTCCAGAAGCCCATTCTGGGCCTGGGAAAACAAAAAATTAGCTACCGGTTCTGCTGAAGTGGTGTGAACTGGCTGAATCCCACCACAGGAAGGAGGGAGGGAGGGAGGGAGNAGGAAGGAAGGAAGGAAGGAAGGAAGGAAGGAAGGAAGGAAGGAAGGAAGGAGTGGTGGGATTCAAATAGGTGAACAACCGGTTCTCTGTGTGGATGGCATTTCTGGAAGTCCGTTCTGCGCCTGGGGAACAAAAAATTAGCTACCGGTTCTGCCAAAGTGGTGCGAACTGGCTGAATCCCACCAGTGGTTATGACGCATTCAGCAGTAAAGTGGCACAAAATTCTTCTTTGTATTTGCTACGAAGGGGAAAGACAATTTCCTTTTCTGGAATTGGTTTTATGAAAGAGTACAGAGAAGAGTAACAAAGATGATTAGGGGACTGGAGGCTAAAGCATATAAGGAACAGCTGCTGGAATTGGGTATGTCTAGTTTAATGAAGAGAAGGACGAGGGGGGACAGGATAGCAGTCTTCCAGTATCTCAGGGGCTGCCCCAAAGAAGAGGGAGTCAAGCTATTCTCCAAGCACCTGAAAGCAGGACAGGAAGCAACGGGTAGAAACAAATCAAAAAGAGAACTAAGGAGAAACTTCCTAACAATTAGAACAATCAACCAGTGGAAAAACCTGCCTCCAGAAGCTATGAATGCTCCAACACTGGAAGTTTTTAAGAAGAGACTGGACAGCCATTTCTCTGAAATGGTACAGGATTTCCTGCCTGAGCAGGGGATTGGACTAGATGACCTAGAGGTCCCTTCCAACTTTATTATTATTAATAAATCTCGTAAGAGATGCCTGATTAAGAATGATAAAGGCCAGCAGGCTTTTCAAAAAGGGGAAAAAAACCAGATTAAAATAACTCAAAATGAAAAGGCAGAATTAAAAAGCCCAAGTTAAAAAAAAGTGCATTTAACTTTAAACACTATGAGATATGAGCTAGGATGATATAGGATGATACGATATTCCAAAATATGATATTTGCTTGTTCATGTCAGAAGCACCCCAATTAAAATAAGGCATTCTATATGACATATCATTTAAAATACAAAATTAAAATATACACAAATTAAATAGATCTCAGCAGTGGTGGGATTCAGATATGGGAACAACTGGTTCTGTGGGTGGATGCCACTTCCGGAAGTCCATTCTAGGCCTGGGCAACAAAAAATTAGCTACCGGTTCTGCCGAAGTGGTCCGAACCAGCTGGATCTCGCCCAGAAACTAGAAACATTAATTGTGTTCTGTCGCGCTGCCATGAGGTCAGCAAATGTACACTGATTGGAACACAAACGGAAGATATGTACATATGTACATGTCACAACTGCAAAAGGCAAAAGTCACCAGATCGCCCCATTTGTTCAGAGTGTCTCTGGACTTTATTGTACCTGTGCGCAGTCTATTCAACAATTTCCATACGTCGCAGCTTTCACCGGACCCAGGTACCACCTCCTCTCTTGGTTCCATCCAGGGATGGTTCTTTGTAGCTTTCCATAGGTCCACTCTGCTTTCACATTCTTCAAAGTCTTTCTAGATTTTAGTCTCTGCTGAGTTCTTGCAGGCTATAGAGAGGGCGTTGTCTAGAAGATATAGATGATCTGAGTCTCCCTCTGTATGCTGCTGCTGTGGGCAAGGCAGTGCTGGCTAGGTGGTAGATTTTATCTCGTGGGCTTGGTTTAAGGCTTCCGGTAATAATTCTGCTAGCTTCATTCAGAGCAACATCTATTTTCTCAGTATGTGTTGATTTATATCAGACTGGACAGGTGTATGAGATATGATATGATAATACGATACGATACGATACGATATGATATTGTGGGAAGTCACCCCCTCAGAGAAGGAAATATTAAAAAGGCAGAAAAATATATTTTCTCAAAGAGGCAGGAAAGCATGCCCAGTTTTTTTAATAGCCCCAGGTCTCCCTTCCCCAAGCAGAAACCAGCTCTATAGAGATGCAGATGTAAATCCAGGGACCTAGGAGATTAAGAAGACGAAGGCCTAAAATCTACATACCCCATCCAAACTCTAAGAGTCATCAGCCCCAGCCCCAGGGAAGCAGGATATGACCTTTGGACATAATAGGATTAACCCATCACCATCAGAATACCAGAAAGGGACACTCACTCAGGTCAAAGTTCATGCTACAGGAAGAACTCCAAAAAATAAGGCTCCAGAGGGTATAAAAACCCACTCCTTACATGTGTTCATCTCTCTTTTCTTCCAGAGCCATCTTTCTGTCTGGCAATCCTCTTCAATAAACTGCAACCTTCTTTCTAAAGCAGTCACCATATTTGTTTATCCCCGGCTTGGACTGAACCAGGATGAAGATTTTTCTTCCAACAATATGAGATGAGATGAGATGAGATGATATAATAATAATAATAATAATAATAATAATAATAATAATAATAATAATAATAATAATAATAATAATAATAATAATAATAATAATAATAATAATAATAATAATGGTAAGGTTGGAAGGGACCTTGGAAGTCATCTAGTCCAACCCCATGCTCAGGCAGGAAACCCTATACCATTTCGGACAAATGGCTGTCCAGTCTCTTCTTAAAAACTTCCAGTGTTGGAGCATTCATAGCTTCTGGAGGCATGTTGTTCCACTGGTTAATTGTTCTCACTGTCAG